AAGGAAGGAAACTGAGGGGGGGGGGGAAATGCCTGCTGTATCCAAGCCAATGTTTTAACGTAGCAATGATGCTACATGATTACAAGGAAATCAACAGACTTAGAAAGTTTCAGAAGTTAGCTCTGTCAGTCAGGATGAAGAGCCAGGCTCAAAACCAATAGCACCTGCGAGAACAGCAAGATTTTTGCAATATGAGCTTTTGACAATCAAAGTGCCCTCGTCAGATACCGGATATTTTAGGAAGGGAGCTTTGACTCCTAGAAGTTCATATCCCAAAAATCTTGCTAGTCTCTAAGATGCTCTTGGACTTGAATCTAGGTGTAAGACTCCTAGGGTGTATGTCTAAGCTTTGCTTTATGTGTGTACAAGGCTGCATGTAGGAGCCCTAATTGTATGTATTGTGCCTGTTTTCCTCCTTTGTATTTCAGCATGGAAAACTGGAGGAGGGTGTAGGCCCAAGAGAAGGAAGAGAAGGAAGATAATGTATTTCTCTTTTTTTAATAATAGTTTTTATTATTTTAAACAAAACAAATAGACAAACATACATGAGAGTAATAATAACAATATTATATCTCTTAAACTACCTCATACATATATGTCTAATTGCAGGCCTATGTTAAACACTACACTATTTTTTAATATTTCTATTGGGTATTCTTTGGTAAAAATGTAGTTAAGCAGAGATAAAAACCAGCAGAGCAAAAGATTGAGAGACTGAGTCCATGTGTATGTTTGTAAAATGTAAAACTTTACTTAAAAAAAAACTAACATGGGAAAAAGTTGAATGGGATGCAAAATAACAAAGGACTAGATCCGTACATCCTTACTGCTAGGAAGATGTTGCAGGAATGGGGAGACAAACAGGAATGGGGTCTTCTTCTTATCCAAGACAAAAGGCAGGAAGAGGGATCTCAATATGCTAAATAGCCAATTCATTGATTTCCAATCACAGGGCTAAAGTTTAGGTCATTATAATAAGACCTCCTACAAAATTTCCAGGGCTTTCTACTTAGTAAACAGATTGGGTACAAATAAACATGTGACTTCCTGTTGACTACCATAAAGTTAGCTCCGTAATTGCTGAAGCATTTTAACTTGCTAAACCCAAAAATTTCCTTCCTTCTCCTGTACTACGGACGGCTAAATTTGACCAACAAAGTTTTATTCTGGGTATAAGCCTTTGCGTACACTCACACTCATGTACACTCCAGAGGTATCTGAAGAAGAAGAGATTGGATTTATACCCAGCCCTTCACTATTCAAAAGAGTCTCAGAGCGGCTTACAATCCCTTTCCCTCCTCACGACAGACACCCTGTGAGGGAGGTGGGGCTGAGAGAGCTCTTTTGAGAGCTACCCTTGAAAGAAGGGCTCTGAAAGAACTTATGACTGACCCAAGGTCACACCAGAAGCTGCATGTGCAGAAGTGGGGAATCAAACCCGGTTCTCCCAGATTAGAGCCCAGGCTCCTTATCCACCACAGCAGACTGGCGTAGAAGTGTGCAGGCCCACAAAAGCTTATACGCAGAATAAAACTTGGTCTTAAAGGTGCTGCTGGACTCCAGTTTTGTTCTGCTGCTTCAGACCAAGATGGCTACCCACCTGAATCTATCTTTAAGGATGATTATTGGTGGTGTTTGTATGGGATTAGTGAGGAGCCAGTTTTCCAAGCAGGGTGTGATGCTCTCCCTTCACCGTCATGCAACTGATAGATTGGGCTCATGGTCCTGTTAGTCCAGGGGTGTCAAACATGCAGCCCGGGGGCTGGATCAGGCCACTGGAGGGCTTCCTTTAGGCCCGCAGTGGAACTCGCTGTCTTCTGCTGCTGCTTCCAGTTCTGCTGCTGCTGCGTCATCATAGGCTTGCAGCTTACAGATGCACACCTGAACAGCATACTCAAGATTACAACAGAACAGACATTTTGATGCAATAACTCAGAGCAAGGGGTGTCAGTTATCAGACACTGTGAAATAAACAAAATATTGCAAGAGTGCTAATGGTTCAAGCATGTTTTTATTTTAACCCTCTTTGTGTTTGTGTCCTTTATAAAGTTTATATCTCCGCTACCTGGCATCAGTGTTCCCTCTAAGCTGAGTTAGTGTGAGCTAGCTCATGGTCTTTTAGCCTCCAGCTCACTCATTTTTGTCTCAGCTCAGGAAGGAGGACTCCAGAGCAAACTGAGTGATGCAGTAGCCAAATTGCTCGCTCACCATTTTAATGCTGGTAGCTCAGAAAGTAGAATTTTTGCTCACAGGATTCCACAGCTTAGGGGGAACATTGCCTGGCATTACATTTTATGACACATGGCCCGGCTCAACAAGGTCTCATTTATGTCAGATCCGGCCCTCATCACAAATGAGTTTGACACCCCTGTGTTAGTCTTCAAGGCACTGTGATATTGTTCCTTTGTTTTGGGTGAACTGATATGCCCTACTGTAATCAGTTCCTCAGGTATTCTCTAATGGGGTGTAAGTAAAGGTGAGTGAGGAGTTTGAATCATGCTATATAATTGCTGTTGGACCGTTTTCTTCTCTCCTAGTTATACTGCTGCTTCAGACCTGTCTGAGGTTTACAAGATTATGCATGGGAAAGAACAGGTAGAGAAAGAGGTACTTTTCTCCCTTTCTCACAATACAAGAACTCGTGGGCACTCCATGAAATTGCTGAGCAGTCGGGTTAGAACAGATAAAAGGAAGTACTTCTTCACCCAAAGAGTGATTCACACATGGAATTCACTGCCACAGGAGGTGGTGGCGGCTACAAGCATGGATGGCTTCAAAAGGGAATTAGATAGGCATATGGAGCAGAGGGCCATCAGTGGCTATTAGCCACAAGGTATAGATAGGGACTCTAGGGCAAGTGATGCTCTGTCTTCTTGGTGCTTGGGGGGGGGAACAGTGGGAGGGCTTCTAATGTCCTGGCCCCACTGGTGGACCTCCTGATGGCATCTAGCATCTTTGGCCACTGTGTGACAGAGTGTTGGACTAGATGGGCCTTTGGCCTGATCCAACATTGGTGTCTCTTATGTTCTTTCTTCTTATGTCTGGGCTCAGTCTTGTGAACTCCTGCAGATGAGAAAGAGGGAATTGCAAGATGTGGGTCATTCCATTTGGTTTGCTCTTTTGATTGAGTTTTAGAAGTGTGCACCACGTTTTCTCCCTGTGCCCAGAGCAGCTAATTGTACAGCTAGAAGCACTATTCAAAAATCCCTTAGAGTGTTAACACTTGTAATAGGCAACTAGCCTGTCAATGAAGTAACTATTCAGCATGCGAGAAAGCAAAGGGGGGAGGGAGATGAAGGATGGCCAATGTTTCTGTAGTCTCCCTGATATAAAATGAATGTTTCTGGTTAAAGGGATCAAGTAAGGAGTAATATGCAAGCTTTTGACCTAAGACCCTAAAAGGCAGCTTCCAGTCAGAGCAGACAGTGTTAACTTCCAAAGGCCAAAGGTCTGGCACATTAGAGTGTAACAATGTGTTGGGATTTTTTTAAAGTAAGTCAGCAAAGTATTAAGAGACTGAGTCCATGGTGTGTTTAAAATATAAAACTTTACTATAAACCTAACATGGGGAAAAGGTACACATATGGAGCAGAGATCCATCAGTGGCTATTAGCCTCAAGGTATAGATAGGGGCTCTGGGGCAAGTGATGCTCTGTCTTCTTGGTGCTTGACAAAGAGCTAGTATGTCTACATCCTTGCAGCTAAGAGGTAAAACGGGAAGAGACGAATGGCGTCTCCTTCTCCGGTCAGAACAAAGAACGGGAAGAGAAGCCATAAAACGGTAATACACCTTGACACTTTAGTCCCAATCAAATCCCTAGATCAGGGAGAAAATTCCCGGGCTTCCTATTGTCTAAACAGATTGGTTACAAACAAACAAACATGTGACTTAACAAACATCATTAACCCTGTAAATACTGAAGTGTTTTAACTTGTCACACCCAACACAATGTCAGCAAGAAAAGGTATGTAGTATTTCACAAATTACTTAGTTTGGGTGGGTGGGGATTCAGTACACCTCTTTTTAAGAACACAAGAAGAGCCCTGCTGGGCCAAATCAGTGGTCCATCTAGTCCAGCATCCTGGTCTCACACAGTGGCCAGCCAGTTCCTCTGAAGGTCCAACAAACAGGGAATAGAGTCCAAGGCCTTCCCCTGATGTTGCCTCCTGGCACCGGTATTTGGAGGTTAACTGCCTGCGAACATGGAGGTTCCATTTAGTCACCATGGGTAGTAGCCACTAACAGACCTCCCCTCCATAAAACTTTCTAATCCCCCTTTAAAGCCATCTATGCCTGAAGTCATTACTATATCCTCTGGCAGCACATTTTAATCACTCCCCAAGTAAAAAAAATATATTTCTTTTTGTCCCTCAAGACTTCTGCTGCCTACCAGCTTCATTGGATGCCCTTGATTTCTAATGATTTTAAGAGGTAGATTCTTTCTCTTGCAATGCATTGCTGCACAGGGGAGCTTTCTGTCCTCTGTGTTAGTGTCCACCCATGGAAAGAATCCTTGGACTAAACTAACGTGGCTGAATATTTCATTTGTGGTCACTGGAGTTCCAGCCACCTTAGAGATTTGGGAAGCCCACCTCGAGGTCTGCACCCCTGAAGTCGTTTCCCGAATTTTAACCCCAAAACGACACTTTCCTCAATCGGAAGCTCTTGGATCCCTGATGTTCTTGGGTTTCTTTGTCAGGGGCAAACGTGTTTCCTTCCCGCTTTGTGCAGGGCGGCGGCATAAGGAAAGGGACGAGTCTCTTCTCCACTCCTGGCCCTGAGAAGGGCGATTCGGTGGAGCGGGAAGGAAGGAATTGGCCACTTTGCGACGCTGGAGAAACACAAAGTGGCGAGGCGAGGAGCCATGTCTGCTTGACAGCCGGCAGGCGCGCGAACGCACCAATGGGAGCCAAGGGGACGCCCTATAAATACAGGCGAGCCTCCGCGCTCGGCACTCTCTGCTCGCTACTCTCCAAAGGTTGTTTGCTCGATCCCTGCCATGACCGAGGAGGCTCCTGCCGTCTCTGCTCCGGCGGCCGCCCCCGCGGCGAGCAAGGCGCCGGCCAAGAAAGCCAAGAAGGCGGCGAGCGCCGCCAAGCCCCGCAAGAAGGCGTCCGGGCCCAGCGTGACGGAGCTGCTGGTGCAGGCGGTGTCGGCCTCCAAGGAGCGCAGCGGGGTGTCGCTGGCCGCCCTCAAGAAGGCGCTGGCGGCCGGCGGCTACGACGTGGAGAAGAACAACAGCCGCATCAAGCTGGGCCTGAAGAGCCTGGTCAGCAAGGGCACCCTGTTGCAGACCAAAGGCACGGGCGCCTCGGGCTCCTTCAAGCTCAACAAGAAGCCGGCGGCCGAGCCCAAGGCCAAGAGCAAGAGGCCTCCCCCGGCGCCCAAGAGCAAGAAGCCCGCGGCCAAGAAGCCGAAGAAGCCCGCGGCCTCCGCGAGCGTCAAGAAAGCCGTCAAGAAGCCGGCGGCGTCCGCGGCCAAGAGAGCCGCCAAGAGCCCCGCCAAGGCCAAGGCGGCCAAGCCCAAGAGAGCGGCCAAGAGCCCGGCCAAGAAGGCGGTCAAGGCGAAGGCCAAGCCCAAGACCCCCAAAGCCAAGACGGCCAAGCCCAAGAAGGCGGCGCCCAAGAAGAAGTGAGACCCGGCGGGAGAATCGCCCCGGACGGACCCCCTAAAAAAGGCTCTTTTCAGAGCCACCCACAAAGTCCAGAAACAGAGCTGAGCCGCTTAAAACATTTTACCCTGGTCAGAATTTATCAATTGTAAAAGTTACGCCCACGCCTTAATACACAAGGAGAAAATAGGAGAACAAGTTCTATAAGCTCCAGCGGTTTACTTAAAGCTTTACATGCCGAAGCCGTTTTCACATAGATGCTGGGAAGAAATACTGAGACTCTGAGCCCTTTTGCTGTCCGAGAAAAGGGGGCTCGTAAAAGAACCGGGAGAGGTGGGTCGAGTGGAACTAGGTGCAGTTTTCCCTGGGTACGTTTCAAGAATGTCCCCGCTGGGTTTGATCTGCAGTAGAGCAGCGAAATTCGAGTTTAGTAGTACCTTCGAGAACTCTTTGAATGGATTTCCAGTGCTGAGCTCCCCTTCTTAGCACAAGAATAGAGATCCCCGAGTTCTTATATCGCAATCAGAAGGTGGAAGGGGGCGTTGTTGCAAGGAGGGACGAGGCACATTGTACATTCTTAAATCTACCTGTTCACTTTGGGTGAAATCTTAAAAAGTAACCCTATCGAAATCCATACTAGTTGGGAATGTGAGGTCTAAAACACGTGCCTGTTTTTCGCATAAACTAAAAGAAACAACAAGCGCTTCTCTGCGATTTAAGACTTGACACTAACCACTCCTGCCAAAAAGCATCTGTCTTGGACTAAATTAGCCCCCTATCAGGGCTCAAAATCTCGTTTCGACCGCCCTATAACCAAAGTCCCCTCCCCTCCAATCGCTTTAGAAAAGGATACAAAGTTTCCAAACAGCCGTAAAGTTTTCCTTACAGATTTTCTGAACAAATTAATCCCTACCTTTCATCCAAAATTTACCGGACTGACTTAAAAAATATGAAATAACATGAAAACGAATGATTTTATTCCCAAAATCGCATAAAATGCCGGGGTCTTTAGAATTGCAGCTCTTTCCTTTGAGGAAGTGGGTGGCTCTGAAAAGAGCCTTTGGTGTGTTTCGCCGTCTTCTCCTCCGGAGGTGGGCAGCAGCGGCCGCTGTGGCCTCAGGCCCTCTCCCCGCGGATGCGTCGCGCCAGCTGGATGTCCTTGGGCATGATGGTGACGCGCTTGGCGTGGATGGCGCACAGGTTGGTGTCCTCGAAGAGCCCCACCAGGTAGGCCTCGCTGGCCTCCTGCAGGGCCATGACGGCCGAGCTCTGGAAGCGCAGGTCGGTCTTGAAGTCCTGCGCGATCTCGCGCACCAGGCGCTGGAAGGGCAGCTTGCGGATCAGCAGCTCCGTCGACTTCTGGTAGCGCCGGATCTCGCGCAGGGCCACGGTGCCCGGGCGGTAGCGGTGCGGCTTCTTCACGCCGCCCGTGGCCGGCGCGCTCTTGCGGGCCGCCTTGGTGGCCAGCTGCTTGCGAGGCGCCTTCCCGCCCGTCGACTTGCGCGCCGTCTGCTTCGTGCGGGCCATTTCCTTCCTCTCTCCTAGGAACTGCTCGAACCACTCTCCTGAACAAAGGACGACCTAGCGAGCCCTTCTGTAGACACGCCGCGTATTTATAGGCAACCTTCCCTCTCCTGATTGGCTGAGGCCAGGAAAGGTTCCTTTTGCGCTTCCGAATTTGAATTTCCCGCTCGAGTGACGTAATTTCCCTGTCGTTCCCCGTCCTTTTTTTTTTTCCAGCACCCCTATTTGTCCTCCAACTGCTGTCCTTTACAGGGTTTTCAAGGCAAGAGTTATTCCGAGGTGGTTTAGCCATTGCCTTCCTTTAGATATATAGGTTCACATCCGAATACTAACCAGGCTCAACCCTGCTTAGCTTCAGAGATCTGACCAGATCGGGTTGGCCTGGGCCTTGTATTTCAGTAGCGGCTTTAATTGGGAATAAGACCTGAAAATACAATCCTGATTGTTGTTCCATCTGTTTTCTAGAGTACTTATTAAAAAGAATCAATTGACAAAAAGTTGACAAAGTTTTCACGAGGTGGTAGCGTGGCCGAGCGGTCTAAGGCGCTGGATTAAGGCTCCAGTCTCTTCGGAGGCGTGGGTTCGAATCCCACCGCTGCCAGTCTATTTTTGAAATCTCTCATTCCGATGTTTTTATTAGGAGCACACGATAATCTGGTACTCCAAAATTGGACATAATATAATCCGTTTTGTAATTCTTAGGTACAAATATCTTGATCTATCATCTCGTGACCTCTTGTATAATGTATGCCCACGGGATGTAAGGAAGAATATTGCTTAAAATGTGCCAGATCGCTAAATGTACCTTAAAGTACCTTTATCCAACCTTAGTATATTGATTTAAATAGTCTTTTTTTCCCTTCTGTATTCTTTGCCACAGTTTGAAAACGGATAAAGCAATGTTTATGAGGAAAAAAAGGAAAGACAACGAATAGATACGGTGGAAATTATTGTTTTGATTTGTTTGTTTAAAAAGCAGTTATACGGAGGTCTCTGTGGCGCAATCGGTTAGCGCGTTCGGCTGTTAACCGAAAGGTTGGTGGTTCAAGCCCACCCAGGGACGCATAATTTTCTGCCCCCCTGACTACCTAGCAAATTCAATGAAAACCATTCCTTTACCTTTTGGTATAAAATAGTCACACGTGCTGTCCCCAGATGTACTTTTTTTTAACTTACCCTATACAATTTGGGAATGGCTATTTGCCGGTCTGAAGGGATCCTGTTTCCAATAACTTTTTAGAAAATTCCATGCAAATTAAGAGTTTAAATATTCAGAAACTTCTGCAGTTTCAGCTTCCAAGCATTTCTTATGTGCAGCGTAATTAGACTACCCTTCTTCAGAACTGAAGAATCAATCATATGCATAATGACTGTAACTTGCTGTCCAACACATCAACATCAGCTTTAAAAATACCTGGACCAGAAGGAAAATCTGATGAGAAATAAACCAAGTTCGTAAAGTGGCCGAAGAGGAGTTTCCATTCTTGTCTCCTGATCTGCTCCCTTGGAACAATCCCACTTGCTGTGATTTAATAGCGCCGAGTTAGCATTGTCCATAATAGATTGTAAACCATTATAAAACAACATGTATTGGTCACAGTCTGCACTGGCAAGGCGGGATACAAATTGAAAATAATAAATAAATAAACAAAGTAGAAAGTGACCAAGATTTTATCCTGGATATCCAAATAGTCAGGAGAAAAGGCTGGGGCAAAACCCGCTCAACAAGACTGACATGGAGACAGTTCCTGGGATAAAAGACTGCGAGTTGAAGAGTGAACTCATGACCCACAAGAGCCCTTTACTAAACCTCCTTTTCTCTCCTATTTATTCCTATTCCATTTGACCTCGCCAAGAGACAGCGAGCTTGAATTTCGTTTGGAAGGCCTTGTTTTGGCACCTCCCCAAAATCTTTGAGTAGCCGTTCCGCTTAGTCATCTCATCCCTAATGAGATCACGCCCAAATTAGTGCAACGCTGCATTTCTCTGATAATGGGTGTTGTTAAATGCAAAGGCTCTGTCACCACCCCCGGGGTGGTGGCCTCTGTGCAGCCTTTGGTATAGCTTCTCTTTCTCTACCCCCCCCTTCATGCCTTCTCAGCTGGTTCATCTAACTGTGTGATCACAGACTCTGTCTTCTTCCTCCTTTCCTCCATCTCTTAAATCTATGTTTGCCCCTCTGCCTTTTTTTTTTTTGCACACCAATTTCTTCGTTTTCAGCACCTGCTACAAACCCAGGACGCTAGCTCTGCTCTTGCGCCTTTTCTCACCTCGCGCCTTGCCTGATATTTCCACTTGGATACTATTGTACTGTTTTAATGAGCTATTTTTAAATGCTTTATGTTAAATTGGATTGTTGTTATGTATTTTATTTTCTGTAAGCCGCCCTGAGCCTGCCTTGGCGGGGTATAAATTGGAAAGAGAGAAAGAAAGAAAACCCAAGGATGGAATTCTCATAGATCATCACGACTGGTCACCTGATGACCGCAGCTCCCACGGCTGAAGAACTAATTTATCCGTCAATCCACCCATCCTTTTGCCAGCTCTGCAAGCGAAAACTGTAATTGCAGACAGCATGGAAGTTTTCTCCTGTCTACTTGAAATCAGAGAGGGGGTCCGGGAGGCAACCCCTAAGAATCCCATCCAAGTTAGATGGAAGTAGAAACGCTATACAGATAGAAAATGTTCTGGAAACCACTATTAGACTCGACTCACTCGAGTTGGATTCTTTAATCTTGGACAAAGCTGTCTCTATGTCTAATATTAGAGAATCCAACACTGAGTTCTTAAAAATAAAAATGGAATCTTTCTTCCTACTCTACTCCAGGTCAGGACTTTCCATAATGTGCTTCAAGGGACAATTTGAACGAATGGATTCTGGATTCTAGACGCCAGCTAGAAGTCAGAGGAGATCTAATGCCTTCATTTTAGCTCCATGTGTATGGCAGCTAATTTTCTTTTATTTATCTTGTTCTCTGAATTTACAGAACTCTATCTACCGCCATACAAGCCCCCCCCCTTTTTTTGTTTCAGTAAGCTTTCATATTAGGAAACCATAGTGGGTTTTATTAAAGTCCAAAAGGAAAAGGGGTCCATGGAGTCGCGAAGAGTCGGGCTCGACTGTGAGACTGAACAACAAAAGGAAAAATAAGAATGCGCCCAACGTGGGGCTCGAACCCACGACCCTGAGATTAAGAGTCTCATGCTCTACCGACTGAGCTAGCCGGGCACTTGCTTTACAGATTTTGAACACCACTCTTATGTAGCGCATTTGCTGTACCCTTCCCACTTTTTAGGCTCTGGAGGCAACGCGAAATCAGAACGGGGGAATCAACAGAACCTCCATGAGCTCAACACGCCCGTCTGCCCTGCAGCCAGTAAGCACTGCCTTCCCACCCGCCCCCAGCGAGGCCCTGTTGACTTCCCTGATCTTTTGCACGAAAGAGGACACAGAGGAAGTCCAGCTCCGACTTCTCTGCCCTGCACTTTCTCCGCGGTAA